TTTTTGCCATTTCAAATAAGACATTTCTATCGGGGAGTACAACTTTTGCATGACATCATTAGTTGATATTCATCTTCTACTTGATTCTGATCACAAAGGTTACATAATCTATTAGCAAGGGGTATTCCTTTGTGCCTGTCACTCTTAATATTTTGCAGGGTAACAAGGTAGGTTTCAAAAGCAAAATTGTTTTTTAATTCTCTGTATGTTCTTAATTTATTTATATTTCATTTTGGTTTGATTAATTGTCGTTTTGTAATTCACTTTTCAAAGTTGATATAAATGATGTTTGTATATTTTTATTAATTTGTCCTAATTGCCTTGTTGTTAGAATTTTATTGTTGTCAACCAGGTTATACTGGTTGATGTTAATCAAAAGGGAGTCTACCATTTACTATTAATTTCTTAATATTAATAATTTACCATTAAATTCAAAAACATCGTAATGTAATTACTTCTACACCAGGCAACACCAATTAAAACCAACATCGATTTAGAATTACTGTGGTCAATGACATTGACATTTGTTGCTTTTCCATATAGCAGCAGTTTCCCTTTCTTAATAATCAAAACTACCCTTGATACCCTGGAGAAGTATGTCCATTGTTTCACAACAACGACTGTCCCAAGAGATTTTCGTCTTCTCAATTTCTCAAGATAAACGTCCCAGGGTTGTTTTGTTTACTAGAAGGAAATGTCCTTTGACAGCATTACTTCAATTAATTTCCATTGAACAATCAAAGAAAGCTTAGAAAGAACTCCCATGTGCTGAGAGTATTGGAGACACATTAAATATAATTTGAAATTACTTAGCTGAAAACTAATTATGCAAATCAGAAAATTAACATGAACAGATTTGATTGTAAAACTAATGAGGTCTGCGCAATGTAACAAAAACTCTATGTACCAAGTTTAATTGAAATGTGATTAAAACCAAAAAATTATGAATTATTATGCTAATTAGGGAAATAATATGAACAGAGTTTTACCCCAAACTAATTAGGTTTGTACATTGTCCTAGAGCATCTTTGTACTAAGTTTCATTAAAATGGAAATTAGTACTTTAGATATCAGTGTGAAAGCTTAAAATTGGTTAATTATGCAAATTGGGTAATTAATATGACTGTACAGATTTTAACCCACAATTATGCAGGTCTATCTATTGTCCTACAGCATCCATGTATAAACATTCATTAATATGTGATGATTAGTACTTTAGATATCAGTAGAAAAGCTGAAAATTAATTATGCAAATTAGGTAATTAATATGCACAATTATTTACCCTGAAACTAATCAGGTCTCTGCATAGTCCTAAAGGATCTATGTACCAAGTTTCATTGAAATGTGATGATTAGTACTTGAGATACCCGTGAAAAAGCTGAAAATTAACTAATTATGCAAATTAGTGATTAATATGCACAAATATTTATCCAAAACAAACAATCTCTGCATAGTCCTTGAGTATGTAAGTACCAAGTTTCATTGAAATGTAATGCTCACTACTTATATCAAAAGCTGAAAAA